GGGGAGACTTTCATTTCGTATGAACATCGGTGGACATCGTCAGAGCTGGGTCTCATTCCTGCAAAAGCCTCACGTTTTTACCCGAAGCGATGAAGGTCTTGTGGACTGCGTCAACCTAGACGTTGTATAAACGCTAAATAGCTGCAGGAAAACGCGATTCATGCGTCGTCTTCTGGTGAGATCGACCTACCCAACACTTCTTCGTGCACTTTTATACAAAATGAAAGTCCTCCCAACAATGTTATGCATTAGGGCCCAAGGACTGCAGAACAATGGGAAGCAGCCGTCGTTTTCAGATAAGAAGAACGATATAATCTTGTTTTTATTCACTTACTAACAAAATGAAAGTTTTATCATTGATGGCATCTTCTTGATATGACCCTAGTTCCTTCGATTTTCCATTCACTATTTCATGATCAGTGGAGGCACTTATTTTTCTTCAGTTAAAAAAAGGACGGAATAATTTACTCGAAGATATGAAAACCAAGATGGTTTGGTCTTTTGTGTAGTCGCAGACTTTTTTTTAGTTGGATAGAAGTTGTCTGACCTTGATTTCGAAACTTGGTCGCGTTGGTAGGAAGACTAAAGAGGAAGATACCTTGTCTGAAGTCCAAAGAGACGAGTTTTAGTATGGCGAAACGTCAGGGAATGTACGAGGTCCACAGTCCGACTTTCGAAATTATCATTCATACAAAGGACTCCTGACTAGGTACGTTCCTCTTTAGTCTTCCCGCCAACATGACCGAGTTGTGAGAATAATTTACTGATGGTTCGATCAGGTAGACCTTCTGGAACGTACCTAATCTCATGTTCTTTGCCATAGAATTCGTGATTTAGAGCTTCGGACGATTAACATGGTAAATTCCTAAACATTTCGCCGACATCGTCAATGAGAAGCGTCATCGATAGCACAAAGTTGCATCTTATGAAAGTGACCCATTTTCACAAACTTGGTCCCAGGATTAGGTACGTTCCACAAGGTCTACCTGACGCTCCGACCAAGTTGCGAAAACAAGCACAAACCAATTTTGTAAAGCTAATGGAGATTACAACCAAACAAAAGATCACCCCATCTTGTTCTTCATATAAACGATACTAATATACTGATTTTAATTATATTCATTTTACCTTATTTTCTTCGTTTCATGTATTTAATCGATTTTGCACACTTTTCATAGTTCATGAGTAGAACGCTTTTGAATCTTTACATCAACACTTTGAGTTTCCAAACGGATTTCAGTTGTTTTGTAGACTGGCATCATAACTCCTGATTATGACGACCAAGATAATGTGACCTTGTGTTGTAGAGCAGTCTCATGTCGCTTTATAGTATCGGTTCGATCTTTTTTTCACAACTTGGTCAAAGCGTTAGGGAGACATGGTGGAACGTACCTAATCGCGTGTCCTCTGCCATAGAATTCGTGATTTATAGCTTCGGACAATTGACATGGAGCATCCTTAAAAATTTCATCGACATCGTCAATTAGAAGCGTCAACGATAGCATAAAGTTGCGGCTTATGAAAGTGAACAATTTTTACAAAATTGGTCCCAGGATTAGGTACGTTCCATAAGGTCTACCTGACGCTCCGACCAAGTTGCGAAAACGAGGACGAACCAATTTTGTAAAGCTAACGGAGATTGCAACCAAACAGAAGATCACTCCATCTTGTTCTTCATATAAACGATACTAATATACTGATTTTAATTATATTCATTTTACCTTATTTTCTTCGTTTTATGGATTTACTCGATTTTGCTCACTTTTCATAGTTCATGAGTAGAACGGTTTTTGAATCTTCCTATCAACTTTTTTAGTTTCCAAGCGGATTTCAGTTGTTTTGTATACTAGCATCATAACTCCTAGCTGTGAGGACCAAGATGCTTTGACCTTTTGATGTTTCGCAGTCTCCTTTGACTTCATAGTATCGGTTAGATCTTGTTTTCGCAACTTGGTCACAGCGTCAGGGGAACTTTGTTGAACGTACCGAATCGCATGTTCTCTGCCATAGAATTCGTGATTTAAAGCTTCGGACGATTGACATGGCACATTCTTAAACATTTCACCGACATGGTCAATGATATGAGCCATCAATAGCACAGAGTAACGACTTATCAAATAAAACCATTTTTAGAAAATTGGTCCCAGGATTAGGTATATTTCCCAAGGTCTCCCTGACGCTCCGAACAAGTTGCAAAAAGAAGGACAAACCAATTTTGTAAAGCAAACGGAGATTGCAACCAAACAGAAGATCACCCCATCTTGTTCTTCATATAAACGATACTAATATACAGATTTTCATTATATTCATTTTACCTTATTTTCTTCGTTTGATGTATTTTCTCGATTTTGCACACTTTTCATAGTTCATGAGTAGAACGCTTTCTGAATATTTATATCAACTCTTTTAGTCTCCAAACGGATTTCAGTTGTTTTGTAGACTGGCATCATAACTCCTGATTATGACGACCAAGATGGTGTGACCTTGTGTTGTAGCGCAGTCTCCTTTCGCTTTATAGTACCGGTTCAATCTTGTTTTCGCAACTTGGTCACAGCGTCAGGGAGACCTTGTGGAACGTACCTAATCGCGTGTCCTCTGCCATAGAATTCGTCATTTCAAGCTTCCCACCATTGACTTGGTACATTCGCAAATTTTGCACCTGTATCGTCAGTGCGAGTTGCCATAATCAGCACATAGTTACAAATTGCCATTTTGGCAATTCATTTGTCCTAGGCCTGAAACCACCAACACTTTGGCTTACGTTCCACAAGGTCTCCTTGCGACCAATTTGCGAAAATAAGGTCGAGTCAATACTTTAATACCTCCTTCTTTCTGATTCATTCTCTTGCTATGCAACAGTATTATATTTTATCCCAATTAATTATAACTGTGTTTGTAATCTACCATCTCAGCCTAGCTTTTCCAATTAACATTGTGCAGATAGACTTCTCTCTACCAAGAGTTGTGAGAATACAATCTGCTGATCAAGGCCAGTATATACGCATGAATGGTAAAATTTTTTTTGGTGATAAATTTACCAAGAGACAAAGTTGGCTACTTCTGAAAAATGGAAAGAGCTAATTAACAACCCATTACTACATTGGCATGTAGTACTTCCCATTGCAGACATTGTAATAAACCTCCCATATATGCTTTATACTGTCGTTTCCGTGGCTCTTTCATTTCACTTTAGAGCGCTTGTGAAAGACATAATTTCGTCAGCTTATCGAACATTCTTCTGGATTTGTATAGTCAATTGTCTAATCTCACCCCGATACTCCTTCTACCAAATAAGAGTGACTAATTATCCGCTGTAAATGTCTTAAAATAACATTCCTATCAAGTTGCATCGGAGTTCTATTCTACAGCTTCATTTGTCGTCACTCGCCTTCTGCACACCCGTTGTCAAGTGTACGCTTTCACGTGCTCAACTGTAGATTAGATTGCGTTTGTTTGCCTACTTTACTTACTCTAATCACATTATCAGTCGAAATAATCTACATGACTGACATCTAAACATAACCATTTTTCCGACAATTTGCGTTTTGACGACTCGCATTCCAAATTCTCTCGTGAAACACATGCCTGAAAGGATGGGCATCGTCATGTTCTCTATATCGATCACCAATAGGGCAATCACCAATCGAGCTATGATTGGATTCACACAACCACTGTTGCCTGGATTCCGCAGAGACTCTAGCCTCGAATCGATAGTGCACTCATCCTCTCTGACAATCCATCTTCACCCCTTCAATCTGGCAAATGGGATTGAGAAATGTATTGATCTGACTATTTCGTCCAGCCCTCTATTTGGTATAAAATAGTAATGAAGTAGCCATGGTGAAAACTCACTTGCCAGCATCATGCGACAGTACGTCTACGTGTTCGTACTTTTCTTGGCCTGCAGTCGGGGCGGCTGGGCTGCTAAGCCTGAAAAGCAGCCAAGCTACTATTCGGCCCCGAAGCATGACAACTATTATCAGCCAAAACAAGATTCTTATCATCAGAATAAGTATGAAACTTATCAGCCAAAGTACGACAGCTACTCTCCGTCCAAATATGATTCCTACTCTCATCACAAGTCCGACAACTACCACCAGCCCAAGTATGATTCATACTCCGGACACAAGGTTGACAACTACTACCAGCCCAAGTATGATTCATACTCCGCGCCCAAGTATGACAGCTATTCACAGCCCAAATACGACAGCTACTATCAGCCCAAATATGATTCATACACCCCGCACAAGTACGATTCCTACTCTCAGCCCAAGTACGACAGCTACTACCAGCCAAAGTACGACAGCTATGAGGAACCGAAATACGACAACTACTATCAGCCCAAGTACGACAACTATTACGAGCCCAAGTACGACAACTATTATGAATCAAAATACGACATCTATTCACCACCCAAATACGGCAATTACTATGAAAACAAATATGATAACTACTATGAGCCCAAGTACGACAGCTACTATACGCCAAAGTATGATTCCTACTCCCAACCGAAATACGACAATTATTATGAACCCAAATATGACAATTACTATCAGCCTAAGTATGATGACTACTACCAACCAAAATACGACAACTACTACGCACCCAGATACTAGGTATTTGATTAAGTGTATAATCCTAGCTTCTGTAATAAATTCTTCTCACATTGTCTTACACTTTCTTCCATCGCCCGACATTTTTTGCTCCAGTCCTAGCAGCTCTTTAGTCCAAATAAGCCTGGCTTTTAATACATACACTTTTGGCCACACTCATTCGGTTACCTTGCTAAGATCAAATACATATGAAACTCTTTTTATTTTGCCACTTGTGAAAAGCGCCGATCCAACCAACATTTCATAGGGATTTCCCTATATATGAAATTCTTGAAATAAATTGGCTACCCCACAAATAATTCACATTCAGCTTCTTGACGGTAAATGTTCGTAGCTATGGAAGATTGGAGACAGTTGTGAGAAAACGAATACCCTGAGCGCGATTAGGTAGGGAAAAACGAAGAAAATTCCAGTTCGCACTATTAGAGTTTTTCATAGACTGTCAATTGTCTTAAGGCTATTAGCACAAGTTACAAATTCGCCCAGTTTCTCTCAATCCATCTCAGTACTCGTACATGATCTGCTCTGTACTTCTGTGAGTTCCAATGGTAACTGTGACTAGTCACCTGTCTAACTTACTTCGCCAAAGGACATGGACGAAGTTCCACAAGTGAAATAATTAATCTATTTTTTATAATAACATGTTCGTTTCCAATAGCTTTTCATCTCCATGTTCCTATAGGCAAGTTAATTCCGCAAAAAATAGCATTAAATTTAACCTTTTGCTGTATAGAGAGGCATCATTTGCAAGTTGTTCTATTAAACTTGAAGCAAAAACAATACTCAAAACCATTAGAGAAGTAGAAACTAAAAGAGAGAATCTCAAAAATGTTGTGCTAAATACTAATTAATTACTTTCCAATCAGAATATAGATTCTCGTATTTTCGAGATATCTGCATTTAAGATATTTATTTATTCATTTATTTATATACATATTTACCATAACCTTTCAATACCAGAAAACAAATTATGTTGAGCATTGATAGTGTTAGTTCATCTATATTGGCTAAAGTTGATTGTTAATATCACTATTTTTTTATCAAGGGTGCATTGAATACTCTCAAAATGACATCAAATTTCGTTGAATAGGAAATTTACCTAATTTTTCTAAGTTCATTCTGGCATATTTCTTCATAAGTTAACCTGGCTATATCAGTCATACATTTCGAA